GTGAGAAGGCCACCCGCCTAAGAGCTTGTACTTGTCACGGGAGATCAGAGGCCCTAATGATGCTGTGACGCTGTCAAAGTGCTGCACTCAATATGCCAGCAAATCTGGAGAACTCAGCAGTGGCCACAGGACTGGAAAAGGTCAGTTTTCATTCCAATCACAAAGAAAGGCAATGCCAAAGAATGCTCAAACTACTGCACAATTGNGGCCACCTGATGCAAATAACTGACTCATTGGGCAAGACCCTGATGCTGGGAAAGATTGAAGGCGGGAGGAGAAGGTGACTACAGAGGATGAGATGGTTGGATGGCATCACCAACTCAATCGACATGTGTTTGAGTAAACTCCGGGAGTTGGTGATGGGTAGGGAGGCCTGGCATGCTGCGGTTCATGGGGTCGCAAAGAGTCAGACACAACTGAGCAAGTGAACTGAATTGAACTGAGAGGCACCAAATGCTTCAAAGGATATATTCCTCTCCTTGGGCTGCCCTAACAAAGCACCTCAGACTTGGTAGCTTAAACAAGGGGAATTTACTTTCTTACAGTTCTGGAGGCTTGAAGTCCAGAGTCAAGGTGCTGGCTGGGCTGGTTTCTTCCGAGACCTCTCTTCCTGGACGTGCAGACAGCTGTGTCCCCCACGTCCACACACTCTTCCCTCGCTGTATCTGCTGTGTCCGCATCTTCTATTAGGACACCAGGCATTCTAGATCAGGGCCCTACCCTTACCTTCACTTAATTAGCTCATTTTGACCTCGTTTTAACTTAATTTCCTTATTGAGTTACTAAGTTCCTATATTTCCTGCCTCCAAATCTTCCCACTTCCTGAGATACTGGGGGTGAGGATTTCAACATATGGATTGGATTGGGGGCGCGGCTCAGGCCGTCACAGAATCTGAAATCTGGCTAATTCCGAATCAGTGCATCTCCACCTCAGCAGGGCTTCGACATCACCTGGGGAGTTTTTTTTAACAAGTAACCATGCCTCCCCCAACCCCCACCCCCGGATAGTCTCCCTTGACTGATCTGTGGAGCATCCGGAAGGTGTTTCCTGAAAGCTCCTAGTGATTTGAATGTGCTCCCAGGACTGGGAGCCTTGTTGAGCTGAGATACCAGACAGAAACTGTTTTCGTCTTCCTAAAGCTGTCCTTCTTTCTGTCCCGCCAGCACCTAGCTTTATACAGCATAGACGACCTTCCGACTGACAAAGTATCAGAGCTGAGTGCACGCTCAGCTTTCTCTTTCATTCATTAAAGGAGACAGTCGTCCTGTGACTGCCCAGACACTATGCTGATGTGAGTCGCTGAGTAACGACGCCCAAAGATGTTCACACCCTGCTCCCTGGAACCGTGAATAGGGAGATTATTCTGGATTATCTGCCTGGGCTCCAAGTAATCATAGGGCGCTTAAAAACAGGGAACACTTCCTGGCAAACGTCAGAGAAAGGTGACTAAGAAGAGCAGGAGAGATTGAAAGCACGAGAGGGCCTCCATCTACCACTGACCATGGAAAGGGGGACACTCGCCTGGGGACTGGGGGCCAGAGCACCTGGGCAACTGGTGGCTGGGAATGGCCTTCAGCTCTCAGCCCGCCAGGAGATGGGTGCTCAGCTCTGTAACCTCAGGTCACTGAATTCTGACAACAGCTGACCAAGCTAGGGAGAAGCATTCACCCCAGCAGCTCCAGAGAGAGAGGTAAGGAACTGCAGACTTGTTTAGTTTTATTATTATTTGAATCGGAGGATAATTGCCTTACAGTGTTGCGTTGCTTTCTGCCAACAGTCCCGAGCCTCCGTCCCCCATCCCATCCCCGCTTTTAGGTCATGGAGGGCCAGCTCTCATTTTTAGCTTGGTGAGGTCAAGTCAGACCTCTGGCCTCTAAATCTGTGAGATGATGAATTTGTGTTGTTCAGAGCCGCTGAATTTGTGGAAACTTGTTATAGCAGCAGTACAAAACGAACAGGGCCTAAAAGGGAAAAATAAGATAATAGCACATTCTCCCTGCTGTCACGGACGCAGCAGCTCAGATCTGCCGATCGGCGGCCGCCACCGTCTGTGACTCGCGGAGCAGTCCCAGTCGCCTCCTGCCTGTCCGTGAGGCCCTTCACGAGTGGCAGGTTGGCCTGACTCAGGCTCCACGCCAGTGACTGCTTCTGGCCCGAGTCTCATAGTGAGACTTCGTACGTGCCCGGTGGGCATGGAGCCTGTTTCCTCCAGGGCTTCCCCTGTGGCTCAGAGGTCACCAACCCGCCTGCCAAGGCAGGAGACTCGGGTTCGCTCGCTGTATCAGGAACAGCCCCTGGAGGAGGAAGCGGCAACCCACCGGTATCCTTGCCTGGAGAATCCCTTGGATAAAGGAGCCCGGCGGGCTAAAATCCACGGGCTGCAAAAGAGCTGGGCACGACAGAGCATCTAAACAACCATTTCCTTCGGCCCTCGCCTCCCGGCAGGAGCTGCGCTGGCCCTCAAAGCCCTGGAGGAGACGTCTACATTTGTAGTTATCCTGTTTGTGGGCTGCTCACCCCGGAGTGTGGGTCTTGACCACACTGCATCCACCCTTCCTGCCCGATTCATTGCGGTTCCGTCTTTCGTTTTAGAAGCTCTCTTTTTATAGACTTTGGGTCATTCTCATTGACAATCGGGGCTTCCCTGGTAGCTCAGTGGTAGAGAACCTGCCTGCAATGCAGGAGACACAGGTCTGATCCCTGTGTTGAGAAAATCCCCTGGAGGAGGAAATGGCAACCCACTCCAGCATTCTTGCCTGGAGAATCCCATGGACAGAGGAGCCTGGCGGGATACAGTCCTCGGGGTCACAAAGAGTTGGTTACGACCAGTGATGCAGCATCAGCAGCATTAACAATCGCCAAGTAAATGGCTGTAATTTGGTACGTCCACGGGAGGAGATAAGTCAGGGTCTTCCTACTCTGCCATCCTGGGCACTCTTCCCAAATTCTGCACTTAAAAAAAATTTTTTTTTTTTTTTTTTACCATGGAGCACAGCTTGTGGGATCTTAGTTCCTTGGCCAGGATTGAACCTGGGCCCTCAGCAGTGAGAGCAGGGTCTTAACCTCTGCACTGCCAGGGAAGTCCCAGTTCCGCACTTTTTTGGTGGAAGTTTCCCATAAAACGAGAATGAAAACCAGATGGATGGAAAAGGGAAATTTTTGTGGCTAACGTATAGGCATGTATGTTAGGACTGATCACAGGAAGGACTGATCATATAGAAAGGGTAGACTTTAATAAAGAAATAATGGAATAGTAGCTCCTCAGACTTCAGAGGAGTACCTATCCTCTCCTACCATCAGCTCACAAATCTTAATTTTAGGATGAAAGCTCACAGTGAAATCATACGCTTCAAGTAAGGAAATGCTCAAAATTTTAAAAAGAAGATGACGAAAATCCCACAACAATGGGAGTGTGTCAAGGGACAGAGGAGCCAACTGAAAGAGCTCCAAGTGGCCAAAGCTGGGACAATCTGAGGAATAAAATAAAATAGTGTTGGATCATAACCCAAGTAGAAAGTAACTATCCATGAGTCTATACTAACATAAGGAAACGCTTTAATGACTTGAGTGGAGACAAGCCTCCCTGAAGGTCAGATGGTTTGCGTAGATGCTGCACCCTCGGGGATGTGCGTGGGGCGCCTTCCCACACTCGTGTGTGTGCACAGAGACCTCCCCACGAGCGCCGGGCGGAGAAGCCTGTCAGACTCCCCACAGCCAGTGAGCAAGGTTTTACTGCCATCTGTGATAAGGCATGTGGGTAAAGGGTTTCCTTGACGTGATGTGCTGAGCAGAGCACTTCCCTTCTGTGGTCTTCCTCCCCAGGGATGTGATATTAGACAGATCACCTCAGTCTAACCATGAGAAGCTGCAGGAGGGCATGGCAGCCCACTCCAGTATTCTTGCCTGGAGAATCCCAAGGACGGAGGAGGCTGGTGGGCTACAGTCCACGGGGTCACAAAGGGTCAGACACGACTGAGCGACTCACACACACACACACAACCACGAGAAAGCATCAGACAAGTCCCAACTGAGGGCGATCTACAAAATACCTGACCAATACCTCAAGACTCTCAGGGTCACCCAAAACTTTCTGTCTAAGCAAGTGTCACAGACCAGTGCCATCTACCAAGACCTGATGGCTAAATATAATATGGTATATTAGATGGAATCCTGTAATGACAAAAGGACATGAGATAAAAACAAAGGAAGTCTGAATAAGGAAGGGACTTGATAATGATGCATCAATATTGCTTATTAATGGTAACAAATATACCACAGTCATGTTACTCTGTATTTGGCTTCCCTGGTGGCTGAGCAATAGAGAATCTGTCTGCCAGTGCAGGAGACGCAGGTTGGATTCCTGGGTCGGGAGGATCCCCGGGAGAAGGAAATGGCAACGGCTCCAGTATTCTGGCCTGGAGATCCCCAGGGACAGAGGAGCCTGGCGGGCTACATTCTGTGGGGTTGTGAAGTGTTGTTTAGTGACTAAACAGCAGCAACAATTGTTAGTCACGGTAACAAATACACCATACTCATAGAAACCGTTAATAACAGGGGAGACTGGGTGTCAGGCATACGCAGCTCTCTACTTCTTTTAGCAATTTGTTTGTGAGTCTAAAACTATTCTTAAATAAAACTTAATTTTTTTTTTAACTGACCACAGCACATGGCATGTGGGATAGACCCCTCACCAGGGATTGAACCCATGTCCTCTGCAGTGGAAGCACAGTCTTAATCACTGGACCACCGGGGAAGTCTCCAAACTTAATTTTTTTAAGTGAAAAACATTATGTGTACCTTACAAATGTTTCTGTCACCAAACCACGTATGTTCTGTAGAGTAAGAACCTTTCTGCATGTCCCGAGGGGAAGGGCGCAGTCTGCGTGTGGCTCTGGGCATGGCCCTAAAGGAGGTGGAGGAGAGGGGCGCTTATTTTGCAGGTGGTTTGAAAGTAAAAGCACTCACCATGCTTTTTTTTTGTACACTACTTCCTCGCTTCACATACAACTCACTCATCATAGTTTATTAAAGCTATTAGATGTTCCAAAAGTATGTTTCATCTCACAAAGTACATTCTGTGACCATTTTGAGTATACTTTTGGGAAATAAGGAAAAATATGTATCATGAAAAACAGATGGAGCTTTGGTACTTGCCTGGGTTGAAGACAAACCTGCTTTGACCCTGGGCCTCTGGGAGCCCAGCTTGAACTCGTACCACTTAGAAGAGCTTTCCACATTAGGACAGGGAGGGAGGCAGTAAATCCATCTGCGCATGGACATAAAAATGGGTGCTTTACCCTCCGGTCCATCAGAGGGAGAACAGGAATTGTGTATCTCATCCTAAATGATGAAGTCGACGGTGCAAGCATTTAAGGACCCTGAGAGGTGGTTAAGTTCTCTATCTTCAAATGAACCTAATTTATTCATTCAGGGAAAGAGTGACAGTTTTCCAAGCAGCAATTTATTTCCAGTCCCAGGGAAGATTCAACTGGTAGTAAGAGAAAAAAAAAGGTTATGGCGAGAGTAGTAATAATGCTCAGTTGTGTCCAACTGTTTGTGATCCCATGGACCCCATGGTCCTCTGGGAGCTCAGCTCAAACTCATGCTCCAACTTAATGTTTAATACACACAGAAGCATGTGTGTAACACAAATAGAACATACAAATCATTCTAATAAGGTGGACACCCATGAACCACCCCCTGCTCTAAAAACTGGGGGTGCTACCTATGTCATTGCATCTCCCCCTCTGTCCCCACCTCCCCTCCCTGAGAAGCAACCATTACCCCAAAGTATGTGGTTATCAGCCCCCCAGTGTTTAAAAGTTATACTTTCATCACATAAGTATATAGCCATATAGTATATATTGTGTCATTTTCAGCTTTGAGGTTGACAAAAGATGAATAATATGAATGTAGTCAACTGCAACCTTCTCCTGCTGCTGCTGCTAAGTCACCTCAGTCGTGTCCAGCTCTGTGCGACCCATAGACAGCAGCCCACCAGGCTCCCCCGTCCCTGGGATTCTCCAGGCAAGAACACTGGAGTGGGTTGCCATTTCCTTCTCCAGTGCATGAAAGTGAAAAGTGAAAGTGAAGTTGCTCAGTCGTAGCGACCCCATGGACTGCAGCCTACCAGGCTCCTCTGTCCATGGGATTTTCCAGGCAAGAGTACTGGAGTGGGGTGCCATTGCCTTCTCCGGCAACCTTCTTCTAAGCTGCCATATTATGTTCCTAAGATTCATGTATATTGTGTGGAACCTTTAACTGTAGTTCATTTATTTTGGTGTCTTCATAGTATACTGTTATATGAATATTCCAGTTTACTTCTCCATTCTTCTGACTTGGGGCATTTGAGGTTTTGTGCCATTATGATCAGTGGCCCAGGGAACATTCTTGGTGATGTCTCCTGGGCATCTTTATATGAGCCTTCACTAGCGTAGTGGTTCTGACATGAGCATGCATCAGAATTCTCTGGAGGACTTGTTAGAACACAGACTGCTGGGCCCCGTGCCCGGAGTTTCTGATTCAGTGAGCCCGGGTGGCTCCGGAGGTTTTGCATTTGTCATGAGTTGGCAGGTGGTGCAGCTGCTGGTGGTCTGGGCCCACGCTCTGGGAACCCGTGTCCTGGGAGAAGCGCCGAGGGGAGGGATGGCCGGGTTGCTGGGGATGCACCTGTTACAAGGTAAGGCCCAGTTGTTTTCCTGTGCAGCTGGACCATTTTGTTTTCTCCTGACAGTGTGGAAAAGTTCCATTGAGCCATGTTTTCACTCATCCTTAGTTTTATTCATATTCTTTCTCTATGTTCAATGTGACTGACCCTGTAGGAAAGGGATAGGATTCATACATGGAGACTAGTATGTTTTACACTTTTCAAAAATTGAAGTCTAGTTGATTTACAATATTGTGTTAGTTTCAAGCATACAGCAAAGTGATTCAGTTATACATATATATTTTTTCAGATTTTTTTCCATTATAGGTTATCATAAGGTATTGAATGTTGTTCCTTGTTGCTCATCTTTTTTGCACATAGTAGTGTGTATCTCTTAATCCCAAACTCCTAATTTATCCCCTCCCTTTCTTTTTTTGGTATCCATAAGTTTGTTTTCTGTGTATGAGAGTCTGTTTTTGTTTGTATATAGATTCTTTGCATTATTTTTTAGATTCCACATGTGTGTGATATCATCTAATACTTTTGTCTTTGTCTGATTTCCTTCACTAAGTCTAATATTCTCTAGGTCCATCCATGTTACTGTAAGTGGCATTATTTCTTTCTTTTTTTTTTTATGGTGAGAAGTATGGGCTTCCCAGGTGGTGCTAGTACTAAAGAATCCACCTGCCAATGCAGGAGACCTGAAAGACATGGGTTCGATCCCTGAGTCAGGAAGATCCCCTGGAGGAGTGCATGGCAACCCATCCAGTATTCTTGCCTGGAAAACCCCATGGACAGAGGAGCCTGGCAGGCTATGGTCCACAGGGTTACAAAGAGCTGGATACTACTGAAGCGACTTAGCACACAGAGGTGTGTGTGTGTGTGTATACAATGTGTGTATAAAATGGATACACATGCACACACACTACCTCTTCTTTATCCATTCATCTTTTGATGGACACTTAGATTGCTTTCATATCTTGGCTACTGTGTTCTATACTTTTTAAAAAGAGACCTTCACTGATTGTGTTTCATTGAGCTTAAGCAAAATAATGAACTCTAATAGGTTTTCCTGTGAAAGTAGATAGTGAAGTAAAGGGAAGTAAACAGCGAACAATTCACAAAACTTTAAAAGAACATCCTTTACCAGTGTTGGGGAGTTTGGATGGCTGTCATTTAGGTTCTTTTCAAGTAGCCGTAACAAAAAACTGGCGCGGGTCCTCACACTCTAAGCCGTGCCACCTGCAGAGACCCCATAGTTCTCCACAGAAATGAACGCAGTCAAATTTATATTTGTTCTCTCATCAAGCATACAATGTTGTTGTTTAACCACAAGCTGCCTCTTTTTGAGAAGATGAAGACTCAGGAGGGATGTGGTTGAAATCTCATGATATTGTGAGAAGATGATCTTGGACTGATGTATCGCCTGCCAGAACTGGAAGAAGATAGAGAAGGACATTGAAAATAAATAAGAGGAAACTGCCAGGATGTTGAAGTATTAACTCGCTCACAAGATGGCGAAGCCTAAGGTGGAAGATAAGAGTATCAGCTTCCACCCACCAGACCTGAGCTTGAATTTTCGCTCCTCTAGCCCACCTGTGGTGTGAGAACGGGCCCAAAGGTCTTGCTGTGTCCTGGGCCTCAGTAATTAGTCCCCAGTGCCTCACAGGGCTGTGGAGGGTCACAGGAAGCAACGCACACCACACCACACACACAGCAGGGCACTCAGTCAGCGTTCTGTGTCCTCTTTTTCTTTGGGACAGGTTTTATGAGAAGAGTAACGGTTGCCATTTTTATGTTAGTTCACCGTTTGCAAAGCCCTTTCCCAATCGAATTCTCATGGCGCCCAAGAGGATGCTCTTCCCATCTTCCCCAGGGGCCGCGCCTCTGAAGCATTCACCGCTGAAATGGCGTTCACCTGTGCCTTCCGGGCGCCATTTTGAACTTTGGACAGCAATGCGCACGCGCAGTGGCTCCGCGCTGTTACCTGTGCCAGGGTTTGACGGGATCATTCTCGAACTGGCAGGTGTATAAGCTGATTCCCTCTCTGGCTCTGCAAAGAGACGTCAGCGTTGAGGCCTTCCTCTGCACCAGACACTAGGCAGCTTCTTCTCTTCTAAACTACATAAGACGTCTTGATTCAAGGCAGGTTCAATTATTACTCTTCTTTGATACAGGAGGAAACAGTCATAGATCTTAGCATAAAACATTATGCTAATTGAAAGAAGCCAGTCACCCAAGACCAAGTATTGTGATTTTTTTCTGAAATGTCCAGAAAAGGCAGATAAATGGAGGCAGAAAGTAGGTTAGTGGTTTCTGGGAGCTAAGGGGATTGGAGGGAAATGAGGAATGACTGCTAGTGGGTGTGGGGGTTCTTTCTAGAATGATGAGAGTGTTCCAAAATTGGGTGTGCAGGGGATGGACAACTCTGTGAGTGTCCTACACTGTAAGTGAATTGTACTCTTTAAACAGGGGTGTATCATGGTATGTGAGTTGTAGCTCAATAACACTGATTTTTTAAAGTCTTACCTAAAACAAATACAGGGAGGTCCCTGGTGGTCCAGTGGGTTAAGACTTTGCCTTACTGTGCAGGGTATGAGGGTTTGATTCCTGCTCAGGGAAATGAGATTCCACATGCCTCATGGCCAAAAAACCAAAACATACACCACGACCAATATTGTAATAGATTCAATAAATACTTTTTTTTTTAATGGTCCACATTAAAAAAAAAAAAACTCTCTAATAATAAAGCAGGCCCAGAACAGTTAGGGAACTTGACCAAGATGATAAGTGCTAGCAGGTGACAGGGCAGGATTGAAACCAGGCAGATTGAGTTCCAAGAACACACGTGAGGGTACTGGGTTCCTCTCTCCCCATCTGTCTGCCTGAAAGCTCTGGCTGCTCCTTTAGGGCTCATTTCAACACTTCCTCTTTCAAAAGGTTTCCTGTGTCTCGGGGCAGACTCGGTGCTCCCTCTCTTGGGCCCCCCACTGTCTGGGGAAAACCTCCTCTAGCGCACTTTCCAGAGTCTTGTAAGGTGGGCTGTCTGTTTACCTCCTCAGCACAAGCACACTTATGTCTAGAAAGAAGAGAGTGGGTAATTTCCATCATATAAATCCAGGGCCTCACTCCTCTCTGGCACCAGTTACATATGTCCAGTTCTGCTGCTGTGGCTGAAATCATGGGCCAAGGGCTAGGCCCTTCCATAAAGCATCCTCCAGCACCGGCATCAAAGAAGACTCCCAAGCAAAATGACCGCACGTGAGATACCTTTGTGTATGCCGTTGAGTGTGATGAGCTTGACTGATGCCGTCTTCCCACTAAGGAGGCCCAGGTGGCCAGTCTAATCTCCGTGCAGGCTGCCGAGCATCGCTTCCTTTTCTGTGATTGCAAATTGAGCCCTCAGTCCAGACAGTCTTCATTTAAAAAAAAAATATTGGAGTATAGTTGCTTTACAATGTTGTGTTAATTTCTGCTGTAAAGAGCAGCAAGATGAATGAGCTATAGGTATGTATGCATCTCCTCTTTTTGGATCTCCATCCTGTTTGGGTCACCACAGGGCACTGAGCTCCCTGTGCCGCAGCAGGTTCTCATTAGTGATCCACGTTATACCTAGTCGGTTATCTATATGGCAATCCCTGTCTCCCAGTTCATTCCACCCCCCGCTTTGTGTCCATACATTTGTTCTTTATGTCTGTGTTTCTATTTCTGCTTTGCAGATAGCCCATCTGTATCATTTTCCTAGATTCCACACATAAGCAATATTATATGATATTTGTTTTTCTGGCTTACTTCACTCTGTATGACAATCTCTAAGTCTCTGCAGTTGGCACTGTTTCCTTCCTTTTAATGGCTGAATAATATTCCCCCATACATATGTACCACAACTTCTTTATCTATTCCTCTGTTGATGGACATTTAGGTTGCTTCCATATTCTGGCTCTTGTATATACTGCTGCAATGAACAATGAACACTGGTGCTCATGTATTGTTATGATTTTCTCCCCTATATGCCCAGGAGTGGGATTTCTGGCAGACAGCTTTCTTGTAAAGCCTATGCAGTTGATAAGATAGGAGATTAGATTTGACTATTACGATTGGGGAAAGCACATTATTGCCTCTGGAAAAATATCAGCAAGTTCCTGTCCAAGTGGTGGAAATGAGCACTATTCCTTATACACAGAGCTGACACTGCTTAGTTTTTGACCCTTCATCTTTCTTCCTCTGATAGTTTTTAGAACATAGCCTTGGAAGATTAGTTACAACCCAGCTAAAGTGGGAAGGAATTTTAAGAAAAATTAAATTCCTCCATAAGATCCAAAGTCTGTGAAACGTTGATGTTTGTAGACAGACACACACAGGACCGGAGGAAATACATCAAGATGTTATCAATAAAGCATGTTACGTGCTCAGTTGCTCAGTCCTGTCCAACTTCTCCATGACCCTGTGGACTGTAGCCCGACAGACTCCTCTGTCCATGGAATTTCCAGCAGGAATACTGGAGTGGGTGGCCATTTCCTTCTCCAGGGGATCCTCCTGACCCGGGGACCGAACCTGGTGATCTGCACTGGCAGGTAGATTCTTTACCATTAGGCACCTGGGCTGCATTAATTATCGCTCATCTTGCACTGAGTTCTTTCCTCTATAAACTCATTTAATCCTTCTGTGCTTGTACTGTCGTTTGTCCCCATTTGGCCAATGGGAAATCTGAACTATGGAGAGTTGTGGTAACCTCTTTTTCTGGACAGCAGGTAGTAAGGGGGTTTTAATTGCTCCTCTCTGCTTTTCTGCATGTTCTGAATATTCTACAATGAATATGGGTCATTAGGAGCAACACATGTGGTGGTTTAGTTGCTCAGTCGTGTCCAACTCTTCGACGCCATGGACTGTAGCCCGCCAAGCTCCTCTGTCCATGGAATTCTCCAGGCAGGAAGCCTGGAGTGGGTTGCCATTCCCTCCTCCAGGGGATCCTCCTGACCCAGGAATTGAACCCAGGTCTCCTGCATTGCAGGCAGATTCTTTAACGACTGAGCTACAAGGGAAGCCCCGTATAATAACACATATGAAATATTATTGTAAACAAAATGTTATTAAACACAAACCAAAGAATACAGCAACCTAAGAGGACAAAACTCCCAGGTGACAGACTGCCCCACTAAGGTGCTTGCGGGGCTCGAGATGGCTGATGAATCATGCACAAGACTGGTCTGAGAGTTCTGCCCTGGCCGCAAGGCTTACTGAAGTATGCCGTGGACTTGCCTGGTGGTCCAGTGGCTAAGACTTCACACTCCCAGTGCGGGGGCCCAGGTTCAGTTCCTGGTTGGGGAGCTAGATCCCACATGCCACAACTAAGGGTTCACATACCACAGCTGAGACCCAACGCAGCCGAACAAATAAACATAAATAAATATTTTAAAAAGAAACCATGCCAGATTGCTTTTTAAAAAAATTGTTCTGGCCACGCAGCATGTGGGATCCTAGTTCCCCGACCAGGGCTCGAACCCATACCCTGGATTTGAATCATGGAGCCTTAACCACTGGACTACCAGAGGAGTCCCCCCAGCTTACTTTTAAGGCCATCTGTGCATGCGTGACATTTCACATTGTGAAATCGCAGAGCAGTTGGACCCAGGGGCTCGTGTGAGGGACTTGCGCCTCCATGCCGCTGACCTGAGTCTTCTAAGAAAAACACACACACATCTACGCCTGATCCTTCAACCAGGACTCATTCAAAAAGAAAACAAAGATAAGGATAAAGTGAGTTTCATGAAAGAAAACCCTCCATGTGCTTGATAACTTATTGGCAAAGAAAGACGGGAAGTGTGCAGCCCGCCAGCATCTCCTTGGCCGCCCCAGAGCCCGTCTCGCCTGCCGCAGTGTGTGGTCAACGTTTATCTCACCCAGAACCAAGGGAAGGGAGGTGCTGAGGTCCACCGATGGCTCACACTGTTTCCAGGCTGATAAAGGGTGCTACGGACGTGAGTTTTCAGATTTTCAAAACATAAAAATGTTGAGCTTCCATTGTGTTCTGTTTGATGACCACTGCCTGGTGTCAGGTCTGAGAAGACCTTTCTGGCTTCATCAACATTCGAGGGGACGACTTTCCCGACTCACAGCCAGGCCCTGGGGAGAAGACAACCCGTGGTGTCTCAGTAGGTTGTGGCTCCCGCGTCACAGGTGGGTGTGAGGAGCATCTGGCATGGTGGGGGGTGGTCAGAAGTCACCGGGCTTGCCTTTTGGCTCTAGATCTTGCAAATGGCCTCTTCACACCAAGGAGGCTTGGGAGCTTCCCCGGCAGCCCAGTGGTCACGACTGCACGCTTTTCCTGCAGGAAAGCAGGTGGATCCCTTGTCGGAGGACTACGATCACGCACACTGCACAGCGAAGTGTTGAGGTTTTTTTTAGTCACCTGCGGAACATGCTCTCCCGGTCTGAGTGAGCCAGGGCCGGGAGAGCCGTGGCAGGGACCGCCGGGCCAGATGGTACTGGGAGACCGAAACACGTTGCTGAGGAGGGTGGCCCTGCATGGCCTGGCTCATCGTTCCATTGAGTTAGACCAGGCTGTGGCCCATGTGATCAGATTGGTTAGTTTTCTGTGACTGTGGTTTTCAGTCTGTCTCCCTCTGATGGAGAAGGATAAGAGGCTTATGGAAGCTTCCTGATGGGAGAGACTGACTGAGGGGAAACTGGGCCTTGTTCTGGTGTGCGGGGCGGTGCTCAGTAAATCTTTAATCCGTGGGGTCGCAAAGAGTCGGACACAACTGAGCAGCTGCACTGAACCGAACTGAGGAGGGAGGCTGGTGCGTGAAGGTCACAAACGGTGACCAGAGCGTGGGTGAGAGCGGACGGGCTGGGGCCAGGCAGGCGGCTGGAGGTCACGGAAGTCAGTGCCTGCGGGGTGTGTCCTCTCCGTATCTCTGACCTGAATGGCTCCTCCTTTCCTGCAAAA